TTTCTCAGGGAATGTTTCAATTAGTCCCTAAAAGCAGTTCACTTATTCAGCATACATTTGAGTATTTTGTCTTGAACAAGAGATTTGGAACTAGGCATTAAAGATGACTAAGACCTAGTGTCTGCCCCAGTGAATGGTCAGGGTCACATGGGGTAGGAACAAACACTTGGATAAACACCATGCAATATGATGCAAGCTGTAACGTGGTGGGCATAGGGGTGAACAGCAAGCCTGGGAGACTTCACAGAGGTCTCTGATATCTGGTCCTGATCTAAAGGATGAGGTGCAGTTGGTCAGATAGAGAAAGAGAAAAAAATCATTCTGAGCAACAGAAATGATTATGGAAAGGGGTATGTAATGTAAAAAGGCTTGATTTGTTCTGGGTGCAGTGTGAAAGGCCTATGTAGATTTTGTGCCCTTGTTCTGTTTTAGAAACCAATTTTTCCTAGAGATTTACCCAAGTGATATAGTATTTATATTTTTCGAAGTTGTTTTACTGAAAGATTAAAGATTGTAGCTTCTGTTAACATAGTATTTCTAATCCCTTACAACACTATAAAGTAGCTTGGAAGGTTTCCCATTCTTCAGATGAGAAAATGGCAACTTAGAAGTTATATGTCTAAGGACATATAAGAAACTAGTGCCCAGAACTAATTGTTTTAAAAACTTTTGTGTTCTTTGTACTTGTTTCTATTGACAATATGAGCCTTTTTTCATAGACACCAGATGTTAATGTCAATTTCTCCAGCATTTACTGAGAGTTCCTGTGCTGAGGCCAGGAATTCAGACAGCAGCAAGACATGGACCTTGTTCTCGAGCCCACACCTGATTCATGTGCAATTTAGTGGTAGTTGAGGCTTCAGCCTGTCTGTCACTGCTTTCTGAAAAGAGGCTTGGAAAGTTCTGTTTTCCATCTTTGAGAGATTGGTAATTTGAGTGGTTTTAAGTATTCTTTTGTTCAACTAATTGTGTTTAGTGAATGGTTACTATATGCCAGACGTTCTGCCAGGTTCAAGTGATGCAAGGATGAAGAAGACTTGGTCTCTGCCACTCTAGTGGGGAACACAGACAAGGAGTCGATAATTATAGTACAGTGTGGTAAGTGTAGTGAGACGGAGACAGAGGATGTTCTGCTTGGTCAGGAGAGTCTTAGAGGCCATGGTAAAAGCTCACTCTAAGCAGGCATGGAGGGATCGGTAGACTAGGGCGATCTGGTAATGGTTCGCACTCAGCCAGCATCTGGAGCAAGTCCTCAGGGCCCAAGGCGCCGGGCCAGGTGGTACTTGTGAATGGGGCCAGTGCCGAATGCCCTTTGTCCTGGATTGATCTGCTTTCTTCTTCTTTGCACTAGGCTATGGAACACCATATGGTTACAGCACTGCTGCCCCTGCCTATGGTATGTACACCATCTTACTGATTTCTCCTCTTAGCGACTCTGTCACAGCAATCCAAAGCACAGTGTGTATCTAGGGTTTCTTTAAATGAATTGGAGGATCTCAGACCTGTTCATTCTAGTGACCCAACTTAAATTCCCTCTGAAAATGCCACAACCTTGTGGTTCTTGGTTTGGTTGGAGTTGCTCTTCTCTCCGCTTTGCCTGATTGAAGGACTGCTTGTTCTAATTGCCTGTTTCTGACCATATTGAAATTAAATATTTTAAGTAGTTCTTCTTACAGCCAACTTACACTCCATTCAAAGGCTACTGAAGGGCCATACCCAGTTTCTAGCTCGGCTGCCTGCCAGCTGTATAGCTACATTTAAGTTTCTGGTTTGAAACTATATGAACTGTGGGTGATTTGAGTTAGGTAAAGGAAATGCTCACTTTGAATTTGTTTCCATCATCCTTTTCCATAAATTTTGCTTTAGAGGTGGAGTAAATGGGTCCTAGAGAGGTGATGGGGGTATCACCAGCAGTGTTACTTAAGTGCTTACTGCAGAAAGTCTGTAGTACATGTTAGAATATCATAGGAGTGTCTCCTCTCCCTCCAAAAATAAATAGAATAGAGCAAATGCAGAAATGAACCTCAGTGGCCCTTTGGATAACTTTTGAATGAGGTTTATGTGGCAATGGAGGCAATAGGTTTGGAGTCAGTGATATGCTCTCTTAGACATTTTTCCTAACTCAGGTGGAAAATTATAGAATCAGCCATCTGCAGGACGTCTATCATTGAGAGAAGAGAGCAAATGTGTGTACGTGTGTGAAGGAGCATGTGTGAGTGTGAAAGCGTGTGCATGCACACATGAGTGTAGGTATGGGTGTGACCCCAGGCTGGGCTTGCATGTACACAGAAGAGAAAGACCTTGAATGTATTGCTACTTGTGGCATCAATCCTCTACATGAGCCTCAAGACCTTTCATTATGCTTTTCTCTTCATGCATCAGCTTTTCCATTTTTGTTTGGATAAAAATTATGAGTCCTTAAGACTCTGCTAAATTGAAGCTTCATCTGATTTCATAACTGTAGAAATAAGTAGAAAGTGAACAGTTGGGCCCCTTTCCCCATTAAGATAGACAATTTATATCTTGGAAAGATGTGGAGAAGCTGCAGGGGTCAAACGTTTGGGATGAATTTTCTCTACGGTAAAGTTCAGGGTCTGGGGCTTCCTCCTTTACCTGACTGTCTACTCTGACACACTGTGGTTTGCTTAAGGCTTCCCCATATTCCCCATGTTCTAGATAGGGGTTGATTAGGAATTGGGGACTCATTCAAGAATATGCTTTCACCCAGAATTTCTTCTAAATTCAAACTCTCTAGCTCCTTTTGATTTGGCCATTTGCTTTTTACCATTCAGCCAACTTCTGGATATCCTGACCACCTCATCCTTTCTGTGAATTAGGTCTGGTCAGTTTATCCAAATACATTTTGACTCACTAGACTCATTATAATATGTCTTGTAATGTGTGAGCGTCAGAGCATCTGCCTCGTAGGGCAGGTTCTGAAGTCTGTGTTTTTCTTTTAAACATAGTAAGTCTCACGTTCTTTAGTACAGGTTTGCTAGAGCTTAATTTTTCCCTTTAAAACACTTTTATATCTAGGCTCTAAGCTACATTCATGTTTTTCCTCAGTCTTTTTAATTTTTCTCTCTTGTTCCTCCCTTTCCTCTAACATTGTACTTTCACCCTGCGGCCTCTGAGCCCCCACTTCAGAAGGCTCTTCTCTTCCATGTGCCATATAACTGACTTCCAAAGCTGGTGAAATTTGATGCCCCCATTTTTCACATAAAAGATTTGGTTTTTAAATGTTACTGTGATGCCAGCCTACTAAAACGATGCTTTATTTTGGCTGTAAGGTAAATATGTCTTTTGGCCTTTGTAAAGCTGTTGCATGTGGGGTAATCTCCCTCTGATCATCTGGTGCTCTTGAATACCTGCTGTTGCTGCTTTGTGATTTCTCCATAGGTTAAATATTAGAATAGAAATAGGAGCCGATTTCAAATCATGCTTGAGTATGCAGAAGTTTGTGAGGCCACAAGAACTCATTAATTACAAAATTAAGGAAGTAATTAATCTTTCCAGATTTGCCATGCCAATATTGGCAGTAGCCATTAAGAAGAAAAACACCTGATCACAACTCCAGTTGGCTCCGTCTCTCTGGGGAGCTGAGGCCTGCACAGAAAGCTGTGCTTTGAATTGGGACAATCCCTGTTTCTTCTGTAATACGTGACATGCCAAATTGAGAAGCAGTATGGATATGTAGAGTCACTTTAGAATCTTAGCATTGCTTTTGATTTTTAGAATTCATAGCAGCTCACTCAAATGAAAGAGCTTTCTGAATATCATTCTTCTTATGACATAGCCATCTTAATTTCGAGTGGAAAATATTAATTATCAAAATCTTAAGAGCAATTTCAGATTAGAAGATCTATGAGAGATTTGTGGGCCTCTTCCAAAATGGTACATGTTGACTGACTAATCTGGAAAAGGTTAATGATAATTACTGTAAGATATTTTTTTACCTGAAATTTTTATTGGATTATTAAACTTATTTGGAGTCCTCTCCGTTTCTTTTCTCTGTAGGTTTACCCAAGCGAATGGTTCTGTTACCCGTTATGAAATTCCCAACATATCCTGTTCCCCACTACTCATTCTTTTAGCAAATGACAGAAGCTCATTCCTATTGAACAATAATACAGTACAATACAGAATGTTAGAGAAAAAGCCTTTTTATCCTGCTTTCTTTGAACACATACTTGATCAAAATTATTTGTAAAGAACATCTTTCCTACTTTTTGATTTTAACAAATGCAAATTTAGTTCTCTAAAACTTGAAAACAAACAAAAAAAGAAACTAGTTCTGTGAAACGGTACCTCATTTCCGGAAAATAACTTATACCAGCCCTTCTGTTCTAGGGAAATAAGTCTAGCAGTTCAAAGTTTAAGTTTTAAGAGGAGTATCAGATTATGTAAAATTAAATTTGTGAAGGATGTATAGAGTCTCAAACACTGATCACAAATAAACTGCTTTGTTGTAACACAGAGTACTGCCTGGTTCCTGATGCAGTCACTGATTCTTAGCTGATTAATATGTATTTGCCCCAGGGCACTTTAATTCGGGCTGTAGTTATTTTTTTTAATACAATAGAGACTTTTCATTTAAACTTTAACTTTGTAAATATTGAAGTGTGTAATTAAAGCCAATAAAATATGGGTTTGAATATTGTTTTAGCTTATTATTTTTTATATGTTTTGGTATCAAATTACAAGGAATTGAAAACTAATAATAACTTAGCCCTAGAAACCCATTCATTTGTAAGCAAACTGCTAAAACAAAGCTAAAGCGATTGTTAGCTGGAGCCAGTCTACTCTGTAAGCCCTTTGTACTCTGCTGTACGGGGCATCCCCATGAGAAAAGTATATTCTGTTCTCCGAGCACTGCTTATTAAAATGACGGCACTACCCAGAGATGGGGAAGGAGGAATGTGATTTAGTTTCCGAATTTCCAAGTTTTAAAAAATAATAAATTAATCAATCAATCACCCTCTCTTGTTCTTGTGGCCTTCTTCACTCTGTAAGATACTGTGTTCACTCTCTGGCTTTTTTCATGCAGATAGAGGATTAGCAATTTCTGGGATTCATTGAAGGGTCTCTTTTCCTCTTCAGTTACATCAGAATCTAAAGCAGCAACAGGGTCCCCATAAAAACTTGCTCTTCGATTGTCCCAGTTCTTGTTGAGTGCTGCTGTGAAAAGTGACAGGTTTCAGCCATGGGTCAGCATTTATTTTTCAGACACCTGATTAAGCTGGTGAAAATGATCAGTGAGTAACATTGTGCTGTTCTGTGCAGGGTGCAGACCTAAGTCGTCCACTTGCATTCTCCCCTTGTTTGGAAGCCTATGATGTTACTAGAAGGTAATGGTTTCATTAAGGTACTCACCCCCATGAAAGCAACAGTGTGGTCCCATGTCGATATTTACAAGTTGCTGTGTCTTAAAAATGTCTGTTTTTAGTATGAATTAGCTTTCCTCTTTCCTCTTAAATTCTGTTCTTTGGAGCTGCACAATGCCCATCAGTGTGAATGGGCTTCACAAAATACGGCAAATTTATGTACCAGATTTCTTTGGGACCACTAAATGAGAATGAAATGGGCAATTTAAAACGAATGGTAGTGTCACTTCTCAGCTGTATATTTATTACACAGTGGTTGGTTTGTTACTTCTGCTCCTTGAACTTTTGTCTTCATTAGTGGTGGGTGATACTTTAATAAAACCTCATCACTTGCTAGAAATAGCTGTGAACTTACCATTCTCATCCTGTGCATTAGTGGTTAGACATAAACAAGAGGGCCCATTTCAGCTGGGAGTCTTCATGTTTCATTGATTCGTTTTGCTGACCTATGGATGAAACAGAGCCATCACTGAGAAGAAAAAGCATGGCTGGTCGTGTCCAGTTTTTATTAATTAAATATTTATAATAGTCCTCTTTGTTTTTGGAATACTATTAATTGGCAGCTGCAGCTGTATTGTTATTTGAAATTGATCATCAAATTTGCATTCCAAGTTGGAATCTCTCTGGAGATTTCTCTTTAGAGAATTCTTTTGAAGTAGCTGACTCGGCTTCATAACTCAACCCCACTATAATGGCAAAAAGGGAGCTGTGCTGTTTTCCAACATGATGGCAGTCATTTCAAATGGTTTCTACCAAGTCTTTTATTTTTTTTTTTAATTTTGTTGTTTGTTGGAAGTTACTAACCATGTTGTAAACCTGCCCAGTTGCTGCAAACTTTTACATTTCTCTGCTTTACTTAAAATAATTGAGCTGTCAGTCCTTTGTTAGAAGTGGTAACCATGCAAGTTCAACTGTTTAAATTTTGTAATGAATTAAGTGTCCCTGTTCCCCCCTTTTGCCCTTCCCACCCTTCCATTTTGTAATGAAAATTCCACTTACAGCTGAAAGAGCAGAGAAATATAAATGAAGCTCTTGGCTTCACCAAATTCTGTGAAATTAACATAAAGTTTTGCTTCTCTGCTCTTTTCTCCACTGTAGGTGGTTTTTTCATTGACAGCCCCTATTGCCAGCCTCTGAGCGTCGCACCATTTATTATTCACTTGGGCCCTCAAGATTTCTTCTCTGACTTCTAGAACCATCAGGTTGTCTGGCTTGAAATGGCAATTTCTATGTCTTGGTCTTAAGAGCAATGTGACCCCCTGAGGCTTTCCAGCTTTCAGATACACCACTCTGACACCTTCTTTTGGAAAGCAATGACTGAGCATTTTAAAGAAGAGCAATACTTTATTCAAAGCCACGGTGTCTGTTTTAAAACTTTTCCTTTGGAATCCTAGCAATATCTGTACTTAACCCCTCCTAGCGTAGTCTCTTGTCAGGGAGTTTACAGACCAACGTAGAACTTAGAATTAGTTTGTAAGCTGTGCTATCTTCGGACAGTTTTTAAACTTTTTTAGCACATAAATTGAATAGTTGCATTCCTGACTGTGTCAGTTAGTGCTATTATAATTTCTCAGAGATAGGGGTCCTCCTTGAAGCCATATTCTTTGTATGGGGGCTGGTGCCCAGCCAGGGATGTGGCCTGCAGCCTGAGTTTCTCCAGGCTGCGGGAGCACCCCATCTCTTGTGCAAGGTAATTGGTCCACTCGATCCCCAACATACCTCATGCTGACTAGAGGCAGTGCATGGTGCGGTGAAGCGAGGAGTCCTGAAGTCCTTTGCAGTTTCTCTCAAATTGTTAACCTGGGGAACAAAGCACTGATAGATTTTGCTGGTATTAGCTTTTTCTTCTTTTTTAAAAATTTGGGTGAATGTTTGAAAATCATGAATCAGCCAGTCACCGTTATTAATTGAAGAGCTGGGAATACCTCGTTAATGTATTTTTAAAACTGGTGTTGGACCCTCTGTGTATTTCAGGTTAATACTTTTAAGCAGTTTTCAGCACGTTTATCTCACTTTATTCTCGTTCTCCTCGGACCTTCGTAGCCATATCACTTGTATAAAATAGGCTGAGATATAGTGACTGTAAGCTGTGGTCTCAGTATACAAAGGTAAGCTCTTTTATTTTCTGATTAAAGAGAAAAATAATTAAAAATCAATGAACACGACATGCATATATGACAATCATATATGATGTATTTGATCTCTTAGGTCTTATGTCATCACATTACCTTTAAAATTTTTATGATCTAAATGTAAAATAATTATTTTCAGCATTTGTTTTAATACCCTTGTAATTACTTTCTATTCAAGAGAGACATGTCACATTTGCTGAGTTGTGTGTGTATGTGTGTAGAAACTTAGAACATATATGTGAATTACACACACGTATCTGTTTAGATAAAAGAATTCAATGGTGGGAAGAGTTCACCTAAGAAGATTTTAATGTCAGGGCAGTCTTTTGGCCAAAGTACTAGAATTTCATAAGCAGCAAGATTGGTAACAGTACCGGCAGGATGCATTTATAAATAGCTGTTACGCAAGCTGAGGATCAAAGTGCCAATTTCTCAAGGAGAGAAATGAAAATCTCTGATCTGTGTTGTATGCCCTAATACAACAGCAGCAAGAAGCCATAAAAAAAAGCAATAGAAAATGAAAAAAAATATTAAGGTAACTATGGAAAAATATATAATTGACTGAGTTAAGCTAACTGTTTGCAGAACCAGCTTTGGCAAGACTCAGAATGGTAAATACCCAGTCTGCAGAGACCAAATAGACACGGCAATTCATCTGTCTTTTCTAGGTTAGGTATCTAGATGATTTATTTCCCACCTTATTCAACCATCATGGAGTTCATTTAAAAGATGTGAGTGTTAGGCCAAATATTTTAGTAAGGATTTGCTTCATTTAGTGTGTCCCATAAATGCATTTCTTATGTGTTAGATGTTCTATGCTAAGGCTGTATTTTATATATGGAGATTAAAATGAATTTTTATGTTGTATGTTTGTCTCTAAGTAGCAGTTTTCTTTTTATTACTAACTTTGAAGGTTGCTGGGACAACTTTTTTTTTTGCCATACAGAATCTGTATGTATGTTGAATGTGGCTTTGGCATCTATAAAAGGTTGGATGAGGTCTAGCTGACTCACACCAAGTACATTTCAGTGCTGATCAAACAGCCGAGTGCCAGTGATGCGCCAGGTCCTTCTCTGGGTGCTAGTGAAACGAGGCTCTGCCCAGCGGAATCATTTTAAGTCTGAGAGTCTCCTTGTTGTTGGAATTGGGCCTATTGTGAATATCCTAGGTTGGGAGACAAATAATGCATCAGGAGTGTCAGAAGATAACTAGTTAATAGTTTATTTATAAATTATTTAATAATATGGGCCCTCTGACATCACTGAAATGGGCATCATTTGGAAATTCACTCATTTTCTATATTTCCCAGGCAGTTTTGACAGCCTGAAATCAACTCTGGTTTATGTTCATGGACCTCTATCCAAGTAAGTGAACTGAATGAAATGAATAACAAATACCCTGGTCCTTTTTAAGCAGTTTTTATAGGTTAGCAAGGAGCAAAGTAGTTAATTTATTTAAACACTGACCACATTTTTTTGATGACAAATGAGGGGAATTGTACCCTTATACTCAATCATTCATTATGACTTCCCTGTTTCTTAGATTTTATTAATGACAGCAGTGGAGGTAACTTTTCAGTAGTGAGTTAGGGGAATGAGCTAAGACTCCCCGACCCCAGCAGTTAGATTTCTAGCAATCTAGAGCCCTAAAAACCGGGATGTTAAGAGCAGTTACAGCTGAAAACCACCTGCTCTGTGAATGGTCTTCCTATAACTCCATTCAGTGCAAGCCAGTGACTCCTTGGTGGCGGTGGCCCAGGGATGAGGGTCTCTGTGACGTCATCCAGAACAAGAAAGGTCCTATTGTATTCATACTCATACGCTGTAACGATCTGATACCGTGCCATCCAGTGATGTAGACTTCTCAGTGTTACCAGGAGACCTGGAAGGGAGATGGGTGGTAAATGAATAAGAACCGCAGAGCCAGGAAACTGTCTGCCGCTGAGGTGAGTTTTGATATTGATGTGTTTCTCTCTAGCAGTTATTTACAGAGCACACAGCTAGTACTTCTTATGTAAGAATGAATCCCTTCCTTTCCTAACAGCATTTTCCAGAAAGACTGTCTTAAGTCAAGAATTCAGGTTGAGTTAGTTGTAAGAATAGACATCCTTTCCCACATTATCATTTTAGGTAGGCGCTAACGGCTTCCATTGATGCTTGAAGCAGTGATCTTGGGAGATTTTTAAAAATAGCACCATAATGCAAATTAGGTTATGTAAGCTTTACAGCACAGCTAGAAATAGGGACTAGAAACCATGTGGGAATCTGGGCCAAAGTATTTCTCTGCCTCCAGCAGATTCCTGTGGGGCCTAGGAGTTAGATGAGTTAATACACATAAGTGCTTTGCATAGAACCTGGTGCATAGTAAGTACCCAGTACATGTTGGCTGTTCTTGCTGTGGTTGGCTGAAGTGACAGAAAGTATGTGAGGGAGGCAAGGCCATGCTGGCAGGTAGGTGAGAAGCAGGTGTGTGGCCTGCTTGGGAGTGCTGCATTGGATCCTTGTGCTCCCAGGCTTTGGGCAAGGACTCCCAGCATCCAGAGATTAGACAGCAAACAGAAAGCAGACACTCAGTGAGAGCTCGTGGTGGTGAGGCCACCGTGGGTCCACGCTGAATGAAAATGCTCACGAGTCTGTTGTGGTGGCTAAATCATTGGCCAGTCTGCTGCCAGGGCTTTGTCAATGCTTGCTTTCAGATTTAACTGTGCTTAGAACTTCAAAAGGGCTGAGCTTAAACATCAACCTACTGATTCCAAGCTTCCTACCAGTGCATTAATAAGAAAAAAAGTGTGTGTTTGATTACAGCTAGTCCCAGAATCCAACATCCAGAGCTCACTAGCAGGTAGAAAGCGAGTGATTATAAACCACGGAAAAGAAAGAGGAGACTGGGTGTATGCTTAGAAGGCTGTTGACTCATGTTTCTCTGAAGAGCATTCTTGCAGCTTCTCTCTTCCAGTTTGCTTCTCCCCTTTGGGGAAAAAAATCAGTACTCATCACCACACGAGTCCTCCCTTCTGTCTGTTAATCTTGGAAAAAACATATCTGTCTATTAATCCATCTGAGACCCTCTATCCTCTTATCTATCTATGTAGACAGTTGGGAATTTGCTTTTCAGCAAAAGGAAAAATGGGCAGATGGTGAAATGGACGCTGTTGGATTGAATAGAAGGTCTACATCTTACTGTCCGTTCCTGGCTCGCATGTGTGGTGGACTTCAGGAGCCTCTGAAGAAAGTTGGGCAGATGCATCCTTGTCTCTTGGGAGGAGATGAGCTAAGTGGGGATACAGAGTGAGTACAGTGATGCTCCAAGGTTATAGAAATTGTGTAGACAAGGGCTGAGAATTACCTTTAAAGGCAAATAAGATAGATGTGCAGTATAGTTGAGAGGCTTTTCTTAAATCCAAGAGATATTTGAATAACGTCTTGGCAAACGTTACTCCATTCCTCAACTGTAGCTGTTCAGTGGAATCACTGCCTCCTTGAGCCAAGGCTAAGGGAGGACCTCATTTTTTGCCTTGACCAATCAGTTATTAACATCTTCATTACTTGGTCCTTCTAAGGAAGGTATTGGTCTTTCTTGACAGAACTTTGCCATTTCTGCAGACAAACTGTGCTGCCTCTGTGGGTGGGGCGAGTGGCGATTGCCACCATCTGCCTAGGCAGCTTAAAGGAGTCTGATTAGCATATCCTAGCTGGAGATGTGGTCCTGAGTCATCTTTTTTGCCACTTATGGCCTGCGGGAGGTAATGGGATTAGCCTGGCTGCTGTGAGGACATTCTCTTAGCACTGCCTAGGAGCCCATTCTCTCTCTGCTTTGTTTCAGTTTCTCCTACCTTGATCTTTTTTATGGTTTGGATGGATAGTCTCTGCATTAAAATGTCAGCTAAATGTCCCAGATAATTAAGTTAACAGTAGCCTTTAGGTCATTTTGGGCTGTGGGCAGCAGTAGATTGAAGAAGCAACAATGGAAGAAAGGAAAGAGAGGGAAGAAAGATGCTTAAATTGGTATTTGTGTGTGCCAGGCCCCTCAACATTCTTCTTAATTTTCAACCAACCTTCTCAGAGGTGGTATTATCCCTAGTTTACACATGAAAAAACTGAGGCTCAGAGTTAAGTGCTAGAATCAAGAATGAAACCCAGCTCTGTTCAGTGCCAGAGCCTTTTTCCACTACCCCATGCTCTGGATTGGAAGTCTGAAAATGAAGGTGAGGAGCACGTCGGGCGACAGAAAGGAGGTGTGCAGGCAGCGGGGCAAGGGCAAATGGAGCTGTAGGAAGGGCCTGCCACACCAGCCAGGGCCTCACTGCCACAGGACCTTGTCAGCTCCCAAGCTCAAACGTCGATCCTAGATTCCTGTGCTGCAATCTGACTCAAGGTCATTTTAGACCAGATATCCTGGCCTAAAATAGGGCTATTTTCTTTTGAACCGATTAGAAAAGACTGTTTAACAAACTGGAAAGATAGACTGGAAAGCTAAGGTGTGGCTCTGTTAACAGGAAGCTTTTGTATTAGAAGCTTGTTTTTCTGTTTGAATATCAATGACAAATTGAGGTATATGTTTTCATTTAGCTAATGCTTTCTGAATACCCTCTCTCTGCCTGGCCTGAGGTTGGTGATGGGGATGTCTTAAAAAATCTGAGCCAGACTCTGAAGGGAGGCTGGTGAGGCTTTGGGTCCCTGAGTAAAAGGAAGAGAGGCACGGAGGGGTAGAAGCTCAGGTTTGGGGTGTAAGTGTAGGGAGGTGTCCCTGCACGAGTGCTAAGCAGAGATGAGGGGAGTGGCAGATTCCAGTAGCCTGTTCTGATTGCACGAGTTTCCCCCAGACGAGGCTTCAGGGAATGCTG